GCCACCAGATTCGTCGACAAGATTTGTAATGGTAACAGGACTGAGTGGAGTCCAATTCGGTCTGTAATCATACGAGTGATTAACAAAATCGGACGACCGCGTAGCGGGAGTCCGATTTGTTTAATCACGAGTATGATTACAGACCGAATTGGACGACACGAAGTTCTGTTACCAATTAATCATAACTTTAACAAAATTTGTGATATAATAGGCTATTTTTTAAATCAAAACACAAGAAACTCGAAATTTTGTTTTGCTAGCAGTTAAAAAAAAAGCCATTTAAGCGCGCGCGTGATGGCGCGTACTGTCCAATTACTTAGGCATGACGCGTACTGTCCTATTAAACTGTCCATTAAGGCTGAAATCAGGGCAGTTGAAAGCCAATCAGATTTGACAATTTTGTTATAGTTATGATTAACTAGTAAACTATAAACTTGTCGAACACAAAAAATCCGGCCTGATTTTTTATTTTGGCCTCTCTTTTAGACAGAGGAATGCAACGTGTAAATTGGCTGCCACCAAGGACTATCGTGGCGCGTGTGTTTCTTAAAATTATATTTCGGGGTCGTCCAATTATCCATAGTCTCTCTAACGGAGCAATGTTGGAGAGACTGGTGAATGCCACATTATGATGCAACAGCTAATGCAAATACAATACACGAATAGGTCTATTTGTTTTCCAGGCCTAATCTACTGTGGTCGAACATGATTGCTATTTTTGGGTGTACAGAAAAGACTATTTAATAACTCGATGTAAAATTTGTTTCACTCTTGGAGTGTCAAATTATTTTTCTCTAAAATCACTTAGCCTTTGCCTCAAAAGTCAAATGAATGTGCCCTGATCTGTGGATTACAAGTTTATTATTTGACTTAAATTATGAATTTATTAACGGGAGCTTCGCTTTTAGCCCTGGCTAAATCTATATATTAAATTTGGGTAAATCATTTTTCCGAATATCCCGCACATGTACTATTGCATAGACCTGATTCTTGGCAAGGCTTTTTGTATATTTATCTTCCTTCATTTTCCAGATTCTAGAATTTCTGTTTTAAAAGTTTCCATTTTTATTTCTGCTTTCTCAACTCTCTCAAAAATAGCCATAATGCCTTCAGATGCCAAACCTGAAAAACTCATACAATTTGAAAGAAAATCATCATTATTGATTTGTCTTTGGTAACAGGCATAATAATAATAATAATAATAATAATAATAATAAGTTAATATTTATATAATATATTTATTTCGGTGCCATCCGAAATCGGATTTCCACTGACTTTGACAAGCGGTGCGTTTGCCAACAAAAAGCGCAATAAACAAACCATCCATAAATTACAGAACAATCTTGACAGCAGCTGTATTTCATTTTGTACACCGAGTAGAAAAAGACAGTTTAAAACATCACAAGATGACACAAAACTCCCGGACAAAACTCTGTCAGCTCCAGCTATCAGTAATTAAGTTTCCAGACGCTGCATAAATTTTCGGCATGAACTCACCTGTCAAATTTTGACCAATCAGAACACAAGAATAGGACGTAGAGCATGATCAACGCGTGACAGTGAGAAAAGTCAAAAGCGATTGCCTTCCCTGCATGTAAATGTAAAAGCCGGTTGAATTTTCGCGTCCGAGGTCAGTTCGAAATCAACATTTTAAAAGTGCTAATCATGAACACGACTTATTTCATATGCATTTTAAAAAATTTAACTTGAGCCTGCGATCATTTGAAAAGTATCAACTTGTCAGCGGATACCTGCAAAAAAACACTCGAACTCAGTGGGTCGACACCTGAGCCCGCGATACGGTCAGGCGATACTGGTCAGCAGAAACACTATTTTGACAGCTGTCAATTAATCAAAACATGGATGTACAATATCAGGTTGCAGGCTCCCAAACTAGCAAGAAAGTGTGATATTAAACATTGGTATGCCTGTGGTGCGGACGGACGGAAGGTCGGGTGGTCGGTGTACAGTCACGTGATTGCCGAATTTTCTAGGATGGATAGATTTTCTAAGCTATGGGGCTTCGAATTGAGCCCGTGATCAAATTAAAATATCAGCGCAAACCTTTAAACACTACCTGACCTCAATGGATAGAAAAATGAGCCCGCGATACACTCAGGTGATGATGGTCAGCGTATACTCTAGTTTGACAGCTTTCAATTAACCTTCATTAGAATGGCGAATATTCCAATCAATAGACTACGAGTGTGAGTAAGACATATCCGTCCTGCTTGTAGTGGAAAATGCCAGATCGTGTACCTGAGCGAGCCTGAGCCCACGTTATTAGTTTTCTGATAGTGGTCTGCACATGTCCCATTTTGACAGCTGTCAATTGACCTTAATTTGGCTTGCCAATATAACTTTAAACGACTGTCAGCCAACTGACAACCTTGCCCGGCGTAGTTTCGTTTTTATGTTGAATTGGTAAGTGTGACATATTATATCAGCTTATATGGAGGGGCAAAACGACTGGTCTTTCATCTGCGCCCGCGAGATGGCCATGTGATAATTGTCAGCGGATGTCTGATTTTGACAGCTGTCAATCTAATCGTACTCATACGGATGGTTTACATAACTAAGAGGCTAGTCAAGTTGTGCAAGATCTATTGTGACATTTGACATCGGCTTACATGAAGTGTGTGTACGGGTGGGCGTACGCTACGTCATAACCAAATTTTCTCAGATGGATAGTTTACCAAATTTTCTTACCCATGGTGCTCCGCTGCGCGCGCGCTTTCGCGCGCGAGAGCTCCGCTATGAAAATTGGGCTCATTTCGTATTTGTAATGGTAACCCATTCCACAGTTTAGGTGCCGGAGCTAAAAAAGCACGGTCACCCAATGTCTTTTTAGTTAAAGTTCTTGGCGTTTGAAGCATGATTCCAATTGCACATGATCTTGGAGGTTGTCCATGGATCGCTTTAAAAGTGACTATAATAATCTTAAAATGAATCCTAAAATCTAGTGGAAGCCAATGAAGCGTACGCAGAATTGGTGAGATGTGATAAAACCTAGGAATCTTTAAAATAAGTCTTGCTGCGGAATTCTGGAGCCGTTGTAACTTTGCTATTTGTTTAGCTGGTAACCCATGCAGAATACTATTACAATAGTCAATGCGCCCAATTATTAGGGCATGAACAAGTGTCTGGGTTGCTTAGTTACTTAAATACTTTGTTATTCGTCTTACATTTGTACTGTAGTAATAGGCTGCTATACACGTGTTATTGATATTAACTTGAAGACTCATGTTACTATCTATCCATGTCCCTAAGTTCTTGACCAACTGAACAGGCGACACTTGAGCATCCCCTACTGCAAGCGAGTCAACATGAACCTTGGATAGTTGCTGACGGGTGCCTATTATTACAAACTCTGTTTTGCCATCATTGATCTTCAGTTTGTCACACAGCATCCAGGCTCTTATCTCATTTACACACCGTTCCATGGCAGCAATGGCATCATCGGTACTTGAGGCACAGCCAGGTTAAAACGCTAAATATAACTGCGTATCGTCTGCATAAGCATGAACGCTGGGTAGGTGTCTCTTGACAACTTCAAACAGTTTACTGGCATACAGAGTAAACAGTAACGGCCCTAAACATGACCCTTGAGGAACTCCTTGATTTAACTGTAGCGATTCCGAACACTTGCCACCTAGTGAGACACGCTGAGAACGTCCCGATAGGTATGACGCAAACCACTCCAGTGCCGTACCTCGGATCCCAAAACTTGTGCTCAGACGAGATAGTGACACAGAATGTTCCACCGTATCGAAGGCAGCACTCATATCCAACAACACAAGCAGAACAACTTCCTGAAGATTCATTGCCATTAATATATCATTATATATCTTGAGTAAGGCTGTTTCTGTGCTGTGACCTTGTATATACGCAGATTGCAACAAGCGGTAGAGGTCATGTTCAGAAAGGTGTGCATGTACCTGGTCAAATACTGCACGCTCTACCAATTTCGACACATACTGCAGGTTACTAACTGGACGAAGATTAGTGAAGTCATTAATTCTAGCTTTTTTTGTAGCGAGGATCAATAAGGGCTTCCTTCCATACCTTCGGAAAGTGTCCCCCAAGTAGCGACGAATTGATCATCTTAGTAAGAGGGTCTCAATGGGGGTGTAGCAAAGACGGTACACGGTTAAAAATTTCGCGATTTCACGGTGCACGCTTAATTTTTTTTCGGCACGGTTAACTAAGATTAGCATACACGTATTACTGTTTAAAAATTCACAACAACAACAAATATTGTCCCCCCTTTCTAAAGAGTGGCATTGATAATCGGGGGCACTGACGATACTGACCCCTGAAATAATGAAAAAGCAATTCTAGTCAGTCTAAACAGGTTCCAGGCACAAAAAAGTAGTAGAAATGCAATTTTTATTAAAAAAACTTCTCCTGCAATGCATGTTGAAGGCCCCGAGAAAAACAGCCAAGGAAAACAACAAAAACATTAGTGTATTTTGGCAAAGTGGTGCTAAACAGTAAAAACGAATGTCACAATTAAGACAATGAATTATTTATTGTTCATGTTATTTTTTGAGCATCTGAGAGCTATTTGCTTTTTTTCATTGTTTCCATCATAGTTTAGCGGCCTCCCTCTACTAACTATGTTTGCATTCTTATGAGTATTAACTATGGGCACAACGAAATATGTACTTACATTTCTAACGGTGATTAAACATCAAACTTTGCCCAGGTCTTGGCTTGTCTTCCCGATCTTGTTATTACTGGCTTGTTTGTTACATAATCAGGTTCGTCATCGGAAAACAAACTATCGTTTCATATTCCTCGCCGAAATGACAATCTGAGTTGGATACCTGAGTTGACTGAGTTGCGTGGACAACTTAGATGGTACAATCATCAACAAAGCTGATTAAAGATACGCCCTTGGGCACGGGTACATTCGGGCCTTCAGCATCTGTCTTATCTGGGAGATCTGCGCTTATTTCTTGATCACGTCTAAAGAATACTCTTGTTATAGAATCGGCTTGCTTTGTATAGACGGCAGGAGGCAAAGCTCCTGCTTTATCCTTTGTGGTCTCAGATCGGACAGTTCTTTGCCTCACAGGGCGAAAGTTGTCAACCAATCCCCGCATTGCATCTTCCTCCCTATTGGGGAGCGTCTTGGATGGGAGTGGCGACATAAACTTGATGTCACTGAGCAACATTCCTGTTTGGGGAACTGGATAATAGGACGCTGGATGGGTGAAGTACTTTGCCGCCCATTCAGAAACTCGTTTAAGAGATTCTTTTGCTATAGTGCCAAAGTCCATGGCGTACTGAAGAGTATTAAATGTCTCATTCTTAAAGTGTGACACTGCATGCAGATTTTCTACTTCAGTTGTTAACAATGTTTTGAAAACAACGTTGTACTTGAATTCTGGATTTACTTTTTCGAGATTTACCATAAGATTGGTCATACCTTTCAACAAAAGCTCAATTGAGGTCTGCGTTTTTTTGGAAACAGTTCCTTGAGGACCATTTGTCGACGCATCTTCCTTTAGTTGATTACTTTCCTTGACTTTGCGCACTGTCGATTAAACGTATGGTGTACTTTACGTACATTCGACACCACCAATTCTGGAGTCATTTGCGCAGGAGTGCTTCCTTTACACGTAATTCCAAAACTGTCATAAACAAGCCCCAAATGATAAAGAAAGGACAAAGTTCCACTCATGCTAACTACTAGTTTTACTTTTCCTGCTGCTGCGTCTGTGACAAATATAGTGTTCGAAATGCAGCAAATACCATGAGCTTGTATAAAACTACAGCATCGTCCAGTACCATAATTCTGTGCATCACATCCGTCGCCAGCAAGATGTACAACTTCGTTGGTGTGCGGGTTAAATGACTTCACATCACGAGCCCCGATGTCTGTGAAGACTAGCAGCTCATTAAATTTGGATACCCTCTTGATCTCCTTGTAATTTTGATCACCATTCTGGATAGCACATTCCATCAGGGTGGTTTCCATGCTAACGGAATATAGACCTCCTTGACATTTGTCGTTCTTTGATCCTGCAAAGTATACGTTTGATTCCAAGATTGTCATGGATTCCACACTTTCGATATGTGTAGGGTAATTTGAAAGTGTTCTCATTGACTTGCCCCTGATTGTTACACCATCTCTTTCGAGCGAAACTTGATGTATGACTGGTAGCACATCATCGGCTACCAATAGCACATCATCGCTAGCCATACACAGGGCCGAGGGTTTTGACAGTTACACGTTGACAATGTGTACCACGTTCTTTCTCACTTTCGATTTTAACTTTCGCAAATGCACAGAGAGGCGCTCACGTAACATCGGAACAGTTCCATTTGTTGACAAATTGTATCTGAGAAGTGCTTGCTCCAGGTCCGCACGCGAGCGTAATGAGCTAGGTTTAAGTTTAACGTTCCCCTCGAGGTCACAATATCTTACACATCCTGTGCCACGCTCTGCTACATACGCTACTCCGTTACGAAAGCATACGTCTCTTGCATCACGCATTCCAGTTTGTAACTCCGATACTTCAGCAGGCTGGTGAAGCCTGATTTTCAACAAACGCGAGGACGAAGAAGACAAATCGTAATCAATGGTGAGAATGTTACCGATAGGGCCTGGAGAAGGAGCGACAGGATGCTTGCAAACGCCTTGCTGGTTTGAAGCCCAAAATCTGTACTTTTCAGGTACTATGGTGTGCACAACTAGCTCTACCTTTTGCAACACCTCTATTACCTCCGGTCTTGTTAAACGAATGATAGCGTCGATTGCCATCCTATCCTTGTTACGAACGCTTTCTAATGTTAATAGTTTCCTTAAATGCTTCCGGACAAAAACGTCTTTAGAATCTCTTAGAGTGCGGATGAGAACAAGGTTTGACATTTGACCGTCAAGATTAATAAACCAGTTACTCCAGCTGCATTTCATTGTCTTGCCAACATGTACAACATCAAAATGACGTCATACACAATGTGCATTGTTATTTCGTGTTCTTTGGGATACCTGTGGTGATTTTGTCTATATATCGAATAAATGTTTTTTTCTGTCTGAAAAAGAAACTAAAAATACCAAATAGACCACATACATCAAATAATTGTTCAGAGCTTAGGAAAAGCTACAAACAACACGGTTATCTGGACAAAAATAATTCACGACACAAGGTTAATTTTTTCCCTTTTTCACGACACACGGTTAATTTTTTGGACGTTTCACGCCACACGCTTAACCCCATTGAGACCCTCTAGTAATAACAGGTAACAGATGATCAAGTGATTCTACTACAAGTTTAGTCGGCATGGGGTCTAGATTACACGTTTTCTTTGATGACTTCTGAATAAGTGCCAAAATGTCAGCTTCAGAGAGGGGCTTGAACTCCGACAGTATCTTTGCATCGCTGACTATAGGTTCATCTGGAACAGTATCCATATCAGCGATAACGGTGGAGTCTATTTGATCACGTATCCGCATTATCTTCCGCGCAAAGAATCGCGCTATATCATTCACAAGTAAAGACTTATCATCATAATCAGGAAACGACAGTGTGCTATCATTCTTTCCAAGCAGCGTCCTGGTGGCACGAAATAACCTGCCCTAGTCACTAGCTACTACTAGTTATCGTTGTCACTAAATCTGTCCCCGACCTTTTAAAACCCGAATGAAGACTCCTTGTGGTTGTCCACGTATTTGCCATGAACCTTTGAAATGCAGTTTTAGTATTAGAGTTTCTGAGTGTATTTCGTTTGTTCTCTTTTGTGTTTTCTCAATTATTACACTTTGTTTCCTGGGTTAATGAAAATCCTCATACATGACATGCTTAGGATGGACAATTGTTTTTTTATACATCTCATAATGAGTTCAACCAACACTGCAAATGTAATAGAACGCGTGTTAAACAGCAAAACCATCTTTAATTATCTATTTGTAACTAATAATATAAATGTCCTATAACTAATGTGTCGAACGAATACTTTGGATTCGAGTGTGACATTCTTGGACGCAACTGACATAAATGATTTCGCAATAAACTAACCCTGGTAACGGCACTCAAGTTAAGCCCTGTCGGTCTGGGTTACGAAGTGGATGGGTGACCAACCGCGAATATCGTCTTAAAGGTCCATACGTTGTTCTTTCTTTTCTTCTTCTTCTTCTTTTTTGCGTATTATGTGGTGTTATTGTTAACAGTGAATGAAAAGCAGATTTAGCATAATTTCGGTGTCCGGATTTAGAAAAAGACAAAAACAAAGAACAAATATGGCCCGGTGCAGTTCGCCTGAAAATTATTTTTCTTCGGGCCGTAATACAGAGCTGAAACTTTGCAGACTTTGATCTATATATCTGCGGGGAAACCGGCAAACTAAGAAATCTGGGTTTTCGACATCTCCTGTTCCCCCGTCTCTTGCTTTTGGCGTTGCCTTCGCTGTGCTAATCGATGTTCCTTCTGCTCCGCAGTTTCTTGTTGACGTCTTCTCCTTCGTTGTTCACGCTGAATTTGAAGTCGGCGTTCTCGCTCCAGAGGAGTTTCGGTGGAAAATCTTCCTGGGCGAGGATTTGGAGCCCGGGATTTGAAGCCACTTGTTGTGCTTGTGTGTGACACAATTCGGCGAATGCGACTCGTTGACAAACCCAGTTTGCGCGGTTGCTGAGCCAGGCTCACACGCTGAAAATTAACCGGGACCACCGTGCGAGCCTAGTTTCATCAAATCGGGAAAATTTCGCATACTAACACTACGACGATACGATACTTTTACTTTACGCGGGGGACATTAGGGTGCCTCCTCGGGTTCCGGCCTCTGGGCCGGAACCCTGCAGTGGCAATTATCCTCAACAAAGTCCGTGAAAAACTTGCGCTTAGCCTCATTAAGGAGATGCGCCACGTGATTCCTCCGCTTCTTGAATAGCTGAAAACCAGTTTCCCGTTTTTTTTTCTTCCATTTTCTTTCTGCCTTTCTGCGTAAAAGCTTTGCCTTGTATATGTCATCATTGTACCAGGGTACAGTAGGCCTTGATACAATGGTCTTCGTTTTAAGTGGCCCGTGTGATTCGATAACGCTAGACAGAGCGATGTTATAATTACAGGCAAGAGAATCCAGGTCGCAAGCGCTGAGGATGTCTGGATGAGAATTGGAAAGAACATCCCTACATAACGATGACTATCCCAACTCACACGAAAGGGCGGAGATATCAACAGACTTGGTCTTACGGTACTTCACCTCCTTGACAGTATTAAGTGGCTTAGATGACGTTAGCTTGCATAGAATAGCGGCATGATCAGACAGATAGCGGTCAGCCTTAGGCGTGTCTAATATAATATTCTCAGCTAGGCGTGTAACAACAAGATCCAAAGTATGTCCATGAATATGTGTTGGTCCTCTGACATGCTGCTGTAACCCCAGTGATTCCAATAAATCCAAGAAATTACGCGCATCCGCATCACCTGCATCATCTACATGAATATTCATGTCCCCCTACAATTACAAGCTGTTCCTCGGACAAGAGGATGGATTCCATGTAATTAGCAAACTCTGAGCAGAAAGTCAGAACTGTGACCGGATGGTCTTCTGAATAGGGAGGACGATAAATAATAACTATGCGAAGCTTTTTTGTCGAGCGACCGCTGACCATCCACTCGGGAAATTCAAAGGATTCATGTTCGCCTCCATCAATTCTCTTCGCATTAAGTGAATCACGATACATTATTCCGGTCCCACCTCCGTTACGTCCGATCCTGTTTTGACCCATGAACCTATAACCATCTGGACAAAGTTCCGCCCTCATCGCGTCGTCGCCTTCCCTCAACCAGCTTTCCGTGAACAAATCGGCCTTGCAATCACAAGCATAATCAAAAACATCAGCGGTGTTGTTTCTTACAGAACAAGTGTTCAGGGAGCATAACAACAAAGACTGATTTCGATTTCCATTCAACAAAGGAACACCATTTGAACAATTGATCCTAATGAGATTGTCACTGTTACGTGACGCATGTAACACTGTATGTTGAAAGTACAACAATCAGTCTTTTCAATGATGTATATACTGTGGTTAATTTTATCCCTAGTTTAAATTTTATTTTTCTTTGCTTCTGGGTATGGTAATGTGTGATAATGAGTTTTAAACAAAGGAAAATTAAAATTTAAACCAAGGATAGAGTTAAACCACAACATATACATGGATGCTTTTATTCACCTCAAAGTAAAAGCAAGTCTAGGTTACTATATCCTCCTACACATTGTGGAACATAACTTCTTTCAAAGCCATCCTCTTCAAAGTTTGATCTGGCAATAAGTCTGGCCGTTTCTTGAATTTTTGCTCCTTTGTCTGTTTTTCCTATTTTAGATCTTAACTTTGAGTGAAAGATCTCAACCTTCTTTTCATTCAGGACTGGACATAATGTACCCTTGGAATCATAATATTCGGGAAAGTTTGTCTGCTGGTGTTGCACATCGCTGAGCCATGAAAGTGATGCTTTATCGTAGTGATGGCGGTCCATGGCTACAAACATGATGGCCAGACGCTTCATTGACGAAGTCAGCTCTTCAAATTGCCCTCCTCTAACTATAATTGGGTAGTGTAGGAAACGCAAAGGAATAAGCTCCTCAAAAAGATAAAGTAGGCAAGTATATTCAGTGTCCATGCTTAGTCCGAAGGCCTGAATAACCTGGCCACAGATGTTCAGCCAACCACAGAATGATAGTGTGATACACAGTGCCACTTTATCTGGCCTGGGCTTTTCAGGCAGTCTTACCCTTTGGCCAAAAACCGATCCATAGATCTCTTTGAAGATGGGATAATACTACTTTACAACATCTTCTGCTCAGGATTCAGGGATGCAATTTCTTGATCCATGTCAGCCTGGCAAACAATCTTCTTCTGATGGTACCATGTGGGCCAGTCACCAACTGTAGGTGCCACATGTAATTTGAGGCCTAGTAGTCATCTTTACTGTGCAGATTCTTTTCTATTTCATCAATTAGTATGGTGGATTTTAAGGTTTGAAATTCTTCATGATGCTCTCTTGAATAGACTCTGCAATAAAAAGGTCATATGTGGCTTAGTGTTAACATTTTAGTAAAAAAGGAATTTACAAGGTGACTTCTAATAGATTAAATAAATAAATTATATTTTTGAACTGCAGCTGAAGATATGGAAGTGAATGTGATCCTCACAGTTGAATGAAGAACGTTGTAAGTGTTATTACACTGTAGCCTGTGTCGTAGATGTAAACAAACGAAGTTTAGGTTTAGTTTCGTCTGCAGCACAGGCTACCTACAAGTAATTAGCTGAAAAAATAATTCAGGCTTGACTAGAGAGTTAACTCCGACCTCTACGTAACTTCTCTCTATCTATTGTACCAGTCAAGGCAAATAGAGCAGTCACATTGCAGTCTTATCAGTTCTTATTATAGTAAAAGAATTTATTCTACTTGCTTACCGTAGTTCCTTCATGGACTGCTGCATCCTACATAGATCGATCTCCTTGTATGGCAGAGGCAAACTCTCCAAGAAAAAGCATTCACTATAGCGTGGCTAGAATTCCCTCATTTCATCAACCACCGCATCACTTGAAATTCCACCTCTGCAGACCTTGGGTACACCACCACCTTGTGAGACCATGACACATCGGTGAATGTTGGCTGGCTCAACGGGACGAGGAACTGCAGGAACAGAAGATTGGATGTCTAAAAGAAGAGTCGCCATATGAACAGCATTGGCGAGTATTCTTTTGGTTGTTGTTTTTACTGCATTAATGTTATGGAAATCGTCCACAGATGGTATCTGAAAGGATTTCTGTTAAGGTGGCGCGAACGTATTTATGTGCGTGTTGGTTATATTTTTGATTTGCGTTTTTCAGAATAAACGATTCAACCGATTTCTATGATTTTTGGCATACCGAATAAATAATAATGGAACTTTAAGAAAGTGTTATTTGTTTTCTTGTAAATATAAAAACCTTTGAGATATCGGCACATATTTAAAACCGCATTTTTACGAAAAATGTAAATAACTTCGAAATGCCACGACAGATTTTTTCTTAACTTCAGCAAATAAGCCTCAGAGCTCCCTAGTGTTACATCCGCAAGTTTGAAGGCAATCGTGACCGTAGAACTCGCTGCACAAAATGCTGGTCAAATTTAAACTTAAAATGCTACGCTAACACATTTGTGAAAGTTGACGCACAAATAGAGGAAGACTGCCGACAGTTCTCCTATCTGAATGGATATTCCTTCCTAAAGCTTTATTGCAAGAAACAGAGTAATCAGAAACCTATGGCGAACATAGTTAGCACTACAAGAAGAACAACAACTTTATGCTGAGTGCGCGGTAATATTAAAGAACTTCTATTCATCAAACTTACTTTGTAGTTGTCCCCCTCTTTTGGAAAAAAAATCTTAAGAAAGCAAAATATAGCTTAGGTTCGGGCCACCTTAAGACAAAGTTGAAAAGGAAAGAAAACGATTATAAATAATTATACCTGGATTTTTGACAACCGGTTTAGCAAAAATATCAACAAATTTAAAACAACAAAATGCATTGAAAGGCCGATTAAAAGCCTTTATCTGACGCCGGGCAGTAAGTTAATGGTCCCTAGAAGCATTCCAAAAAATGACGCAAATTTTAGAACATTTATTGTAGTAATCTGACTTCGCGAAGTTTCAAACTGGTGTCATTTCAGTCTCGAATTTTTTAAGTTGAGTTAGCTGCATCGAAAGAGTGCCTGGTTAAGGCTTACGTAAGAACTTAAGCACTACTTTTTTCGCGGTCCAATAAACAACAGGATTCCGCATAGAATAGACAACAAACTGAATGAAACTTCACCTTCTTATCTGCAAAAACCGGCCTATGGTACAATGCCATTAGAGCCCACTGAAACTAGACCTAGATCCAATTTTCCTGAGTCGAGTGTTGCTTTTCCAAGGTACAATCAGCTAAGCTAAACACCGACGAAACAATATTCATGGCTGGCACAGAATATTTTGGCGAAACCGCAGTTCGACCACACGTTCACATACCTGTCAACACCATGGGAAATCACACAATCACACTTTCGCGGCACTGATAAGACTATCCACAACCACGCATAATCTTCTCACGTTTAACATAAGCGAAATATCATCGAATAACAAAAAACAAGCCAAAAAAAGCGACATAAGCAAATAACACAGTAAACAAGCTATTAGACAGGGGAAGATGAGAAAAATTACAATTGAAAATGTTTGCTAACCCGGTTTTCATAACTCCAGGTAGAATTATGTTATACTTTATAAAGATCTCAAAATCACAGGCTTAATTTATAGGTAGAAAATGCTTTTGATCATACGGATTGTTGTTGTGTTTTGTAACTACAATGGTGGCGACCTTCAGGAACATTTTTTCCAGTTTCTATCATGTATTATTTTTACCTTTTGAAAAGCTTCACAAGCCATTTGTTTAGCCCTTGTCATGGTCAGATACCATTTTGTGCTTCTGATGAGTCCATACCACTAGATGACAGACCATTAAGCTCCAAGAAGGTGGAGCTTTCATCCATAAATTCACAGTGTCTCTGATTTCTGAAAGTCATACCAAATAGGCTTGACACATTTTGCATTAGTAAGTCACATATCTTCCGAAAAAAGGAGGAAACAATATTGAACTCGAAATCTCAGCGCTTGTATATTCCATAGAAAGTACTTCATGTAGGTGCGTTTAAAGACAATATGATTATATATAATGTAGTGTAGATCAGTATTGTAATATATTATCTACAGCGGAAGATGGTAATTCAAGTCAGGAAAAAAGTGTTACTAATACTAAATTCCCACCTTTCCCACAATATTGCTGTAATGATGTCGCCCCCACTTCTGCCTCCAATGATCATGAGGTTTGAATAAGATTCTTTGAATGGGACTCTAGATAAATCATTTGTGAATGCTTTAGGCTTTGTGACATTCTATACATGTAGTTACCAAAATTATTGCACCCTTAAGTACCTGTAATAGAGAAGCTGCCGTATAAGAGCTGTTGCTCTCTTCTCTTGCAGGTTGGCCCTTTTTTCACCATGACGCTCTTACAAGATACTGTCAAGGATTTCCTTGTATAATGTATTTGAGACTGAGTATTGCGAACATGACTGGAATACAATCCCCTTAGGCTGCTCAACTCCATATTTGAGAACATGTCAATGTATATGTTGTGGTTCAATTTTATCCTGGGCTTAATTTTCATTTTCCTTTGTTTTCGGTTGTGGAAATGTATGATAATGAGTTTAACAGAAAGGAAAATAAAATTAAACAAAGGGCAAAATTGAACCACAACATACACATTGTACAAATCTCTTGTACTATCATATGATTTCTTGACCACTTAAACACTACATACGTGTACATCAGGATATATATGTCTACGTTTTTGTATTTTTTTACCAGATTTCAAGATACATGTATTGTAGTACAATGAATGCCACAAAAAAGGTCCGCTGAGTG